CCCCAAAACCCCAAAACCCCAAAACCCCGCATCTTGATTATAACCTTAATATGAAAGTTAGGAAATTAAAGTCAGTATATTTTATATATGACAGATGATTCTAAATTCATGAAATTAAATTGGAGAGCACTTTTCTTAATTTCATTATGAATTTGCTCAGCTTACTTCTCATCCTCACTCTATTGAGGATTGTTGTCTTTTTAATCCATATTTGAAGCATCTTACTTATTCTCCTTATTTTCATTATCATCAGCTTTAACTCCATTATCTTTTTAATCAGATTTATTTTCTTGTTATGGTACCTCTCTTTTAAGGAAGTTAGATTTCATTTGACCTCTCATAGGAATAGTAAAATCCTTGATTTCATAACCCAGTGAACTCCAAGAAGATTCCTTATCAAGTTTCTTCAACTTGATTGCAATAAAATCTACAAGCAATTCGACACTACTTTGAGAAACGTCAATTTCTTTATGTAAAGTATAACATAACCTGTTAATCTAGAATACTTAGTTATCTTTTGTCCATAGTGCTGAAGGGTACTTAACTTCAAGCACTAATTCGTTCTCAGATAATGCAAATCTTACATCAGTTAACTTGTTGTAACCCTTAAAATTTAGATTGATAAAGACGAATTCCTTCTGATGGAAAAATTGGAACTTTGCTTGGATTCTTTCTGTTTTATCCCAATCAAAGACCTATTGCTTTACTTAAGGCAATATACTCTCATTTTCTTATATCTTTTACTCTGCTTGACTAGTTTTCTCATTTCCTTGTGAATTCTACTTTATTTCTTAGATTAAAGGCTTGCTTGCCAAATCATTAAGACCAGTAATTTTGATGTTTGAATTAATTCCATCTTCATCTCCAAGAGTATTTTTAAATCTAACTTCCTTGAGCTATCCATCATCTTCTCCGAAATCCTAATTATCTTAATCCTCTTTATACACTTTTAAGAAATTTTCTCTTTGTTTGCTGAGATCATCTTGCTTTACTTGATCTTCTTTTAAAGCTTCTTCCTTGAGTTTTTTCAAGTCTACCTCATCATCATCTTTCTTATACTAATCTCCAAGAATATCCCCTCCAATCACGTCAATGTTCGGCAATATTGTATTTGATTCACCTGAAGTAGCTTCTGAAATACCATCTAATTTATGTTTTTTATCTTCATCCTCTTTCTTTTCCTCATCTTCCCTTTGTTTGCCATTTTCAATGTCCTTATCTTTCTTTTACTTCATTTCATCGTATTTCTTCAAATTTTCTTCAAATACTTTTTGAGATTCTTCAGTTAATCCTTTAACAGGTACTCTGATAGTAAGGGTCTTCTTATTTTTGTCGAATTTGGCATTACCTTGGTTTGAATCGCAAATGTATTTCAAGTTTAAGTCAAGATAATAGAGATTTGGGTATTCAAATATGAGATTAGTCTAGTTAATATCAAGCAAGGCTAACTTCATTGATTCCACATGAGGCACATTGATTGTAACAGTCAACTCCTTAGGGATCTTTTGAACTGGCTTCTGAATTTCAAATCCTTCATTAGTACTGAAGCCCTCCCAAGAATCCTACAAATCTACTGGATATGAATACACTATCTTATACTTAGGTTAAACGACCGACTTGGGCATTGGTTCTTCTTCTTCAACATCCTCCTCATCGATCTCACCTAATTGTGCAGATTAACCTTTCTTAAGTGCCTCCTACTCCTATTGCTACTTTTTAAATTCATCAGTCTAATTTGAAATATCTTTTTAGAGCTTTGTCTCATGCTTATTTACATCAGCATTCTAGAGTAGTTTGTTCTCAATTGCTACCTTAATAGTGAGCAAACCTGGCTTACCACCTTTGCATTACAAATGCTTCATAATTTTATAATCTGAGGAACACTTTTCCTTGTGCTCAGCTAATACTCTATTTACACCTTCAACTGCAGTATCACTGACGAATCTCTTGAAGTCATCGTAAATGATAAAACCGGCAACGTCCCTATGGAATACGATATCAAAAGTACTGCATAAATTTCCATGCTTGTCTTGATCATGTCTAGGTTTACTGACTCTGTAAGGTAGCTACCAAGAGTTACCTTGTCTGCCATCTGGCATCTACACAAACTCCTTCTTTGGTTTCTCTACATCTTCATGGACGCAAACGTTAATGAATGTCTTTTGATCGAAATACTGCTTATTAGTATCACTGACCAACTTCTTTGCAGTTGTCTTAATGCAATACAATCCTGTTGGCTCGATAAGTTTTGTACCAACTGGGAGATCACCTGACTCTTCAAGTTACCTAAGATAAGTTTCATACTCTTGCTTGTTATTGGGATCTGAAATTTCCTTAACATAGTCCGCCATTAAGGTTTTGAATTCAGGTTGTTCCATTGCCATTGTGAAAGCTTTTAACTCTTTTTTAGACATCTCAAGTTTCTTGCCTTCAAAAAATGGATGGTCTATCATGTCTGGATTTTCTTCAGGCTTAGGTGGCTTAGGCTCTGACTTGACTTTCATTCTGCTGAAATCGTCTGATGCATATGGGTTCATTTTTGGTAAAGTTAATACTAGTAAAAGTAGTAGATATAAATTATATATTGGCTCTTTAATTTGAATGATTATAATTTGAATTTCTATCATCAGCTATTCCAGAATCTTCTTATTTTTGTTTCGAGGGGTTTTGGGGTTTTGGGG